AAGATCCACTACAGGTTAGTCTAAATTCTGTGGACTTATGGGTTCAGGTTTTGGATATCCCCCTGGGATACCGCACGGTGAAGGTTTTGGAGAGAATTGGGGGCTATGTTGGGGTCTTTTTACGTTATGATGAACGAAATTTTTAGAGGCAATGGACTTCCTTCTACAGAATTAGAATCACCCATGATGTCTCGAATCCCTTAAAACGGCGTATGAAGATGATTCTAAGAGATGGATCGTGGACATGGATTAATTTTAAGTATGAGCGCCTCCACATGTTTTGCTTTTTTTTTTTTTTGTGGGAGAATGGGCCACACGGATAAGTTTTGCTTGCAAGCTCGCCGTTCGTCGTGGAAGCCGGAACAATACCCGTTTGGCGTGTCAATGAGGGCGGGGGGTTCTAGTCCAACGAAATTGTTGGGGGGAAAATGGTTTCAATTGGGGCAGGAGAGACGGCGTGAGATTGGCTATGGGGGTGAGGGCGGGAGATTGGCAGTGGGAGTCGGGGTTGGAGGGGATGGGCAGTCTCGGGTGGAGGTTGGCAGGGCTGCGGTATCTGGGATGGAGTCGGGAATTGAGGGTGTGGGTGGGATGGGCGGTGAGGGAGTTGTTGGAGAGGGGGAGGGAGTTCGAGTGGATCCGAAAAGACGAAGGACGGATGTCGGGGAGGTGAGTGCTTTGAATGGAAATATGGTTGTTGATTCTGATTCTTTGTTGATGGCGGGACCTGTGGAACAGGTCCGTTGGTCCCAATGAGTACCTTAAGTTGGAACTGTCGTGGCTTGGGTAATCCACAGACAGTTCGCGAGATTGAGGACATGGTGTCCTGTAAGAAACCCGACTTTGTATTTCTCATAGAAACCAAGGTTAGCCGAGATCATGCTGAACGACTTCGGGTTAAACTTGGTTTTGATGGACTTTTTGTATTGACAGTTCTGGTTTGAGTGGTGGTTTGGCTCTATTGTGGAGAGCGAATAATACAGCAAGATTGATGAGTTATTCCACAAACTATGTGGATGTTGAAGTGAGTATACCGGGGTTTGAAAAATAGAGAATGACGGGTTTTTATGGCTTTTCACAGAGGGGTTAACGGAGAGACTCTTGGGACCTTATTCGTACTTTAGCTGGCAGATCAGATCTACCATGGGTGATGATTGGAGACTTTAATGACTTACTATTTCAATCTGAGAAGCGAGGTGTAAACCCTCATCCTGAGAGTTTATTGCATGGGTTTGGTGAGACTATAGAGGAGTGTGGTTTAAAGCAGATGCCAATGACGGGATATCCGTTTACTTGGGAAAAACGGAAGGGCACACCGAATTGGATAGAGGAAAGGTTAGACAAAGTTTTGGCTAACCAGAGTTGGCGTGAGAACGCGCCGGATGCTAGTGTGCAGAATATATTAACCCGACAGTAGGATCATTCTGCTCTTTTCCTTGGGATTCTGAATCTTCGGGAAAGGACGGGTGGTTTGAAAAGAGGGTTTCGTTTTGAGATGGCATGACTGCATGACGAAGGATGTAGAGATGTGGTGGAGAAGACATGGAATGAAGGTGGAGGAAGGGGGTTGCAGGAGTGTATCTCTCTTTGTGGAAATCGTTTAACGCGCTGGGGAGGAGAGCGTTTTCATAAGTTTGGTGAACGAATGAGGAACCTACGGAAGGAGCAATTACGTCTGAGGGGGTGTAATGACCCAGTCTCATTAGCTGAGTTCCAACGATTAGAGGAGTGCCTGAGTCGTATTGAAGCCCAGGAAGATACATACTGGAGGCAGAGAGCCAAACAGCATTGGCTTAAGAACGTGGATGCTAACACGAAATATTACCACAGGTATGCATCTCATCGCAAGAAAAAGAATACTATTGTTAAAATTATGAATGATAGTGGGGATTGGGTTGAGGGTGAAGCCATGATGAATATTATATTCAACTATTATAAGAATATCTTTACCTCCGGTTCTCCAAGTGATAATGGGGAATTCTTTGGAAATATAGGTTCTCGTGTAACACAGGTACAGAATGAGTTGCTCTTGCGGCCCTTTGATGCTAGTGAGGTTAGGAGTGCTCTATTTTCCATGTTTTCTGACAAAGCACCAGGACCGGATGGAATGAATCCGGGGTTCTACCAGCATTTTTGGGATGTAGTGGGTGGTGATGTGTCGACCTATATTGTGAATTGTCTTAATACTCGCTCGTTTCCTGCTAGCCTAAATGATACGAATATCATATTAATCCCCAAAAAGAAATCCCCTGAGGCGGTCTCAGATTATAGACCGATAGCGCTGAGTAATGTGATATACAGGATTATGGCTAAGGTTATAGCTGCCAGAATGAAACCACTTATGGGGGATATTATATCTGACACCCAAAGCGCTTTTATATCTGACAGATTAATAACAGATAATATTTTGATTGCTGCCGAGGTTGGTCATTTTTTGAACAGAAAACAATGTGGAATCACAGGATGGGGGGCTTTGAAACTGGATATGGCGAAAGCCTATGATCGGATGGAATGGCCCTTCTTACGTAATATGATGCTAGCATTGGGTTTTGATGAAAGGTGGGTGGAGTTGATAATGTTATGTGTAACCGCAGTCTCATATAGTATACAGGTTGGTGGGACACGGAGTGAGCAGATCAGTCCAACTCGAGGATTGAGGCAGGGTGATCCTCTGTCACCTTATCTCTTTATTATTTGTGCTGAGGGACTTTCATTGCTATTACAACAGGCACAGTCGAGGGGAGATCTACATGGTTGCAGAGTAGCTAGGGGAGCCCCCCCCTGTATCCCACCTATTTTTTGCAGATGACAGTTTACTATTTTTTAGAGCAACTGCACAGGAGGCTGGTGTGGTAAAACAGTGTTTATCGGTGTATGCGGAAATGTCTGGGCAAGCAGTGGTGTATGCGGAAATGTCTGGGCAAGCAGTGAATTACTATAAATCAAGTATTTACTATAGTAAGAACACGCGGGATGATGACAGAGAGGAGGTTGCCAGTATCTTGGGAGTGGTGCAGGCTCTGAATTTTGGGAAGTATTTAGGACTTCCATCATTTGTGGGCAGGAATAAGAGAGCAGTTTTCTCATATATTGATGACAAGATTAGACAACGAATTGGGTCATGGAATAAGAAGTTGCTTTCACAGGCAGGTAAGGAGTTCTTATTGAAAAGTGTGGCACAATCTATGCCCACCTTTTCTATGAGTGTCTTTTTATTACCTATGAATATTTGCACTGAGAGAACTATGAATCGTTACTAGTGGAGATCTAAAGATGACCAGGGCATCCATTGGAAGGCATGGGATAAATTATGTATTCCTAAGAAATATGGGGATTGGGTTTTAAGGAATTGCATGCCTTTAATTTAGCTATGTTGGGGAAACAGGCCTGGCGTTTACTCACGAAACCTGAATCGCTGGTATCCATAATATTTAAAGCCAGGTACTATCCAAAAGGGTCATTCTTTGATGCTTGTATAGGGAATAACCCAAGTTTCTGCTGGCGTAGTATTATGGCTGCACAGGAACTAATTTGTGGAGGAGTTAGGCGCAGGATTGGGGATGGAAAGGCAACTCTTATATGGGATCATCCATGGCTTCAGGATGAGAATAATGCGAAGATAATAACTGAAAAACCACCACACTTGGCGCAGGCAACTGTTATGGGGTTAATGGATCAGGAAACGGGTTCATGGGATCATGACATTTTAACTGATATTTTTATTCCGGAGGATGTGACACAAATATTGAAAATACCTGTGTCACCGGATTATGAGGATATGTGGTATTGGTATGGAGATATAACAGGTGAATACTCGGTTAAAAGTGGTTACAGACAAATAGTGGGGAATTATGTTCAAATACCAGGGATGTTTGATAAATGGCCCAAATTATGGAAGCTCAAAGTACCCCCAAGATGGAAAACATTTTTATGGAGAGCCTTGAATAATATATTACCCACTACAAGGAACCTGATTATAAAGAGAGTGAAAATTGACCCAACATGTGCTATGTGTGGGATTATGCATGAGGATACTATGCACTCTTTGGTCATATGTGATTATACAATGAACATTTGGGCACAATCTCACCTTCCAATTCCCAATACTGTCACATATATTTTCCATGTTTGGTTTAATGAAGTATTAAATATTCTAGATGTTGATGGAATTATTTATGCAGTGGGCCTATTATATTATATATGGCGAGCGAGGAATGGGGCTGTATGGGATGCATGCTTACCTAGACCACGGAAGATAATTGCAACTGTAACCACAGCGATCCGGGCATGGCGACTTGCACACCCGGACCGCACGCAAGCGCAACCGGCTCGACGTGGATTTGCCACGACAACCACCGAACATCTCCAAGGGACGGACGGCCAGCCTGCTGCCGTCACTGTCGCAAGTCACACGGCCACCTCATCACTTGTAGCCCATGGAAGCATACGGAACAGATGTTATTTTGATGCGGCGTATTTCCATACCACGAATAAAGCCACTGTAGGGGCAATCCTCCTGGACGAACAGGGGTCGTATATCTCAGCTTTACAGGCGCCATTGATAGACTGCTTCTCCCCTCTTATGGCAGAAGCAATTGCATGTAAAGAAGTTTTATCTTGGCTATGGGATTGTGGGGAGAGATCGGTAGACCTCCTAACAGACTGCCTGTCACTACAACAATATTTATCACTTGCGAAGGATACACCTCGTTCATACCTTGGCTATGCCATTGATACCTGCGGATGGTTTCCTTTGATTATGTTTTGATCAGTTTTATTCCTAGATCAGATAATTATTTAGCACATGTTTTAGCCATTTCGACCTTTAATTACTCAGCTACTATGTATTCGGACTCTGACCGCCAGACTCTATTTCAACATATTTTCAATAAATGTCGCACAGGCTCTTTTCAAAAAAAAAAAATCAATTGGGGACAATGAATTCCTATATCAATTCATAACATAAAAAGAAAAGAATACATTCAATTAATTAACAAGTGCGGGCCGGACTTCGATCGGTCGAGCCCGGTTGGACCCATTGACTGAGCGCCAGCGGTAGTCACCTGCAGCTAGCCCACAACTGCTCCATCCTTCTCCTTTGACTGCGGACCATTGATTTGTCATTCCGCTCCATTCCCGTAAACCTGCACACACGATGGACTTTTCCGGGTGATGCCAAGTCAGGCGGGGGCAGTTACGAGAATGAAATCCGTTAAGAAATTGGTTCCTAAGCCTCAACAACTCTCGATTACGGCTTCTCCCGCCTCATTTTTTCGTGTAAATTGCAGGAAAATCTCTCTATCTGTTATAGCAATGCTTGCATTATGCTTGATAGCTCTGTTAAGCATTTCGTCGATCGAGGAGCGTGTGCTTGGATCTTCTACTCCGCCCTTGTCCGATCAGCTCTACACTGGTGAAGTAGTCAACGAGTTCCCTCACGATCCCGAAGCCTTTACTCAGGTCCGATTTTCGAACTCATTTCTGTTTTTATTTTTTGTATTTAACGATTCACCTATAATTTTCCAATTGAACTTAATGAAAAATGAAAACAATAATAAGAATTGCTGTGATGAATTTTATTTTTATTTTTTTAAAAAAAAATTGCTGATATGATTCTCCCTTCTACATTATGGATGGTAATATTGTGACCAGTTTGATGTTTGTCAGAACATTTCATGCGTAAAATTTGTCTTCCTTTTGGATCTACTATGATGCTACATTATTTTCAGGGATTATTGTATGCTGAAAAAGATACCTTGTTTGAATCAACTGGACTTAATGGACGCGTGAGTTTGCCTTTGGACTCCAAATTCATTCCAAAGTTCAGGAGTTTGTAAACTTGGTGCTTGAGCTCATAAGCTAATATTTGTTGTTATTCGTATTTGCAGTCATCTGTTCGGAGAGTTGTTCTTTCTACTGGTGAGGTATATTATGCAAATGCTTTATTAGGATTTTCACTGAACTGAAACTGCTTTGATTTCTTGCTCTGCTCACTTTAATGGTAGTTATTGTAAATGGTTATTAATTGTATTAGTGGATAGCTGTTTGGTGAATCTATCTGAATGCTTACTTTATATCGTAAACATTATTTGTTCACAGGTGGAAGTTAGTCATAAAATGCAGTACTCTGATTTTGGGGAGGGCTTAACACTTCTTGGTGACAGGTTTGTTGAAAAGCAGAAGCTATTTCTTACCGTGTATCCTTTGTCTGGATACTCAAGAAATCTCTGCAGAACAAGCAAGCCTCTTTTCATTAATTTGGATGTTTTTAATTTGAGATGTATTATTTCTAAGCTGTTGACCTGTTCACCTGCGTGCCATGTCAGTGCTTTACCTCAAGCTTCCTTTTGCAGTATGTTCTGATGTGGGGTAATCAATATAAAGACTGCCTATTCAGCTGCACTATATTTCTGAATTACGTTAATTTTTGCCTCTGAACCACTGATATTTACCTAATATCTGGAGATTTTGAAATTCAATTGTAGAGTATTTGGTTTCTCTCCCTTATTTCAACTTGAGCTTCAGTTTTCGTGAACCTCTAGTGTATTTTTCTTTTAACTCCATTTTTTTTTTAACTTTAATTCTACTTGTTAATGTGTGCATTGTTATGCTAATAGATGTTAAAATGTTGGGTACAGTTCTGATATTGTAATCTCATGTGTTTGTAGGTTGTTTCAAGTAATTTGGCTGCACAGTACTGGTTACATATATGACCGATATAATTTAAGCAAAGTGTGTTCATCTTTTTGGTCACTTGTGTCTATTTCTCTCACCAAGTTTTTTAAACTTGAACTCTTTCTATTTCCATCATTGATTTATTTTTACCTTCTATTTTTATGTTTAGTTTTTTTTTTGTTGTTGTTGAAAACTCTAAGTTACTCTATGCAGTTTAAGGGTTTTACTCACGAAATGAAAGATGGTTGGGGATTGGCAACCGATGGGAAAGTTCTATATGGAAGTGATGGAACTTCAACATTGTATCAAATTGATCCCCACACTATGAAAGGTTCTGACATCTCAAAGTCAAAGTGAAGTTCTACTTTATTTTCTCTGCCTAATAATTTTGTTTCTGAAAAATGCAGCAATCACAAAACATACCGTCAAGTATCGAGGACAAGAAGTGCCAAGACTCAATGAGCTTGAGTATGTAAATGGTGAAGTTTGGGCAAATGTGTGGATGGTATAAACTTCCTTCCCTCTTCTCCCCTTATATTTGATTGTATTCGGTTGTATAGTGATCTGTGACAATCTCAAATGTCACTCTATCACCTGTTCTTGCCTGTGTGGGATCACTTATAATGTTCAACATCTCTTACAGACTGATTGTATTGCTAGAATCTCCCCAAAAGATGGCATGGTGCTTGGATGGATTCTCCTTCCCAGTTTAAGGTTGATTTCGTTCTTTGTTTCTTATAATGCTTTGTAAAAGATACTCAAACTTTAGGAAGCTTAGTTTGAAATTGAACTGACCTTTCACTTCAATGAACTTTCACAGAGAAGGATTATTCGCAAGTGGGCATGAAGTAAGCATTTCCACCAGAGAGTTGCCCTTCTTATTTTGAGTTAGTGTTTTGCACTTTTGCATACTTGAGATTGAATCCGTCTTTGACCACCTTGCAGCAAATCGATGTCCTGAATGGCATAGCATGGGATAGAGATAGAAGCCGTATTTTTGGTAAGTTCCATTATTCGCTTTTCACATGCAACAGTCTTAGCATTCTTGACCCACGTCAAGGAATATATCGTTATCTAAATTTCCTGATTGATGGAGTATAGCTCAACGAAAGATTTTTAGCAGCTTTGCAACATCTTGGATAGACTGACTTACATTAAACAAAAATTCCAATGGCTCCATGCCTCCATAGTAGCAACTATATGCTTATGCTAAGATATACAGTTTGACTAAAGGCAAACTCTCCATACATACAGTGACTGGAAAGCTATGGCCGAAACTGTTTGAGATCAAAGTGCATCCATTGAAGACACCATTCAAGGGAGATGTCAAGAAGATGTGCATCCCAAATACAGTTTAAATAAAATAAAGGCAAAGTCTCTATACATACGTGGACCGGAGACTCGGAGAGGCGGAGAGCTATGGCCGAAACTTTTTGAGAATCAAGGTGCATCCATCGAAGACACCATTGAGGGGAGATGTTAAGAAGATGTGCACTCCCTCTAACAGACCATTTGTGAGTTTATGTAGATAAACGTTTTTGGTGGAAATTGTGAAAATACTATGTTTTACCACGTTGTAAGGAATGTAATTGGACTGCTATGCAGACACTATTTCCTTGTAGTCTGTTTGTCTGAGGGTGTCATACAGACTATTTCGGAGTGTTCTTTGGTCTATCTTCAAGAAGAGCGCTTTGAGAATCAAAGTTGCCATACCTTCTTCTCTTTTCCAGTTACAATTATAGCTTAGTTGGCTGATCAATTAAAAAAAAAAAAAAAAAAAAAAAAAAAAAAAAACTTGAGATCCTTAAGTCATATTTTATGATTTGCTTTTCAACGAAGACTCAAAGGTAGGAATCTTTCCATTTTAAATACAGACCCTTTGCTATTGGTCTAATTTATCGGGGTCAATGAGTTAATGGCAATTTTAATAAGTAATTAGTACTTTAATAAAAAATTCACTTGAAATATGATGTGATGCATTAGAGAATTATTGTTAGTTGTTCAATCTAAACATCGTATGATTTGAGAGGAACAATCAATTTCAATATGTATATCAAACAATTATTTTTAATTATAAATTTTGTTTTAAAAAAAGTAAGATAAAACCAAAATGGAATTGGTCACATCGACGTTGAGTTTCGGGCTCTGGATGGGCCATTTAGGATTGGATCCTAGGTGTTGTCTCGATGGACTGAAACATCTCCAAGTCTCATAGAAATCTTAATTATAATAAAGTCATATGGTATTGTGAAAATTAAATGTTAATATTAATGGTTAAATGTTGGTATTAACAACATTTAATTTTCACAAGATCATATGGCTTTAAGAAGCATGCATGCACATCACACGTGTAACCCCAAAGTCCATAAGTTTGAATTAAGATTGTTGATGTGCATATCGAGGACTACAGAGACAAAGATGTGTTATTCATGGATTCATCGGATACTATCCAACAACATTCTCCAACTTAATTGACGTGAAGTAGGCTTAGTAACATTAAGATTATATTCTCGAATTATTAGTTCTCATCTTTTATTGATTACACACTTGATTCGATAGTATTTGGAAGAAAAAATCAATGTTCGAATTAAGATTGTGATTGTTTGGTCTTTAAAGGTCAATTGTATGTTGCTACATCTAGAGTTAGAAATCTCAAAGGTCTAAAATTTTTTATCCGTGGTGACTCTAAAATTGTAATTCAATTACTATTGTAGTTTACTAAGTTCTTAAAAATTTGTAATATTAAATATTATGTAGTAAATTTTTAATATAGTTTAAGATTTGTAGTAATCACCCACCTTAAATGTTATTTTAATTGTAAATATATTTATGTTCATAATTTTATCATAGGAATTCACACATAATAATTATTAAATAATAAAAATTTTATATATGAATAAACCTCATATAGGGTATAATTTTATACATATTTTCCGTGCATCGCACGGGACAACTACTAGTAAAGACTAATACTACATATATTCTCAATTTTTGAATACTCTATCTGTCTCATTTTATCTATTATACCCACTATTTATTAGTTAAACCAATTTTTTTTATTATTTATTATTTTTTTACTTATTTTTAAATTTGATATTTTGTGTGTTTAATAGTACTTTTAATGTAGTTTCTATATATATATATATATATATATATATATATATATATATATATATATATATATATATATATATATATTGTATATTAATACTAAATTTAATATTATCAAAAATTAAATTAAAAATAACTTTAATCAAGTCTCGTTAGTCGAACTAGACACATAAAATGAAACATATGGAGTATTTACTTACCTAGTGTGTTATAATTCATTTTATTAAAAAAAAAAATTAACTAGGTTTAAAGTTCAACTCTCAATGAGAACGATTCATTAACCTTCTTAGTTTGAACGATTATCTATAAACAATCTAGATTGATTTATTTTCTTATACTTCTTTGTCAACTAAAAGCACAATGTAGAAACCAGTGATCTTGTAGTCTAGCCACATAAAGTGACTCTCCCAAATGAGAGGTTATAAATTTAAATCTCTGTAAAAATAATATTAACCTTTCGTGCTTCATTAAATTAAAAAAATAACTATAAATAGATACTACATTATAACAAAATCACTAATACTTAAAAAAAAAAAAAACATAATATAAAATTTACCTAATATATCATTGAATAGTAATTATAAATTTCTCTTTTCCCATACACAGATTCCATTATCATTTTCCGAAAATAAATAAATAAGTCATCTCATGCGTCATATGATTTTGATGAATAATGATATGATAATATCTGGACCGTTCGTGTGTCTGATCTTTTATATTGGAGCTTCAACCAAGTCCGATCCGGCCCCACCTCCAAAAACAGAGTCAAATCTATCGGCTTGAACTTCTCATCTACTGGGACCCACTGCACTAACACCACCATCCCGTACCCGTTGTAGCCTACAGCCAGGTGTCTCCGGTCACATGAAAGCTCATCACTGATTCTAGATTCACCCAACTTTACCTCCACGTGTCCTCTTTACACGAATTCCCTTTTTTGCCCTTCCTTGTCCTACTCATCCCCGTCTCCCCCCTTCCGCCATTTTCATGCGCGATTACTTCAATCCTTTCACTCTCTGATGAATTTTGGGATGTTTTGTACTCTTCAGATCCAAATTCATCTCTGAGCTATTATTCGATATGGATGTATCCAGTTGACAGGGCGCAGCGGAGATCGCTTCTTGTGAAGGCCATCTTCGTTCTCTCCTCTTGTTGAACAGGTCTGCTAATATTACAGTCTTCTTCCATGAGCAATTAGATCTGGAGTTCTGATTTGCATGATTTACGGAGTAGCTATGTTTTTCTATGTGATTTGACCTCTGTGCATTTCGATCTGATGATTGTTTGTGCTTAATTGTACTCCGTATACAATATTGAGTCTGGTTTTGATTTACCGATTGCCGTCTGGTTGAGATTTGAAGTCAATTTAATTCGATTTTCTGGAATACGTGCGGAAGAGTGTTTGGTGGTGCAACAATTGTCTGATTACTTTTTTTTTTTTTTTTTTTTTGAAGTTACAGTTCCGAATTTGGTGATGAATATGTGATTTTTATAATTTCTTGATTAATCATCTATGATAGCTAGTGGATTTGTTGATACTTGATACTGATATATGTAGGTGGTTAGGCCACTATATATCTAATATCTACAATTGTCTGTATGAAAGAATGGAATATAGAGGAGGACGTGTGATTAGGTTTATATGTAGATGACTTGGACCTGTAGCAATGCCATAAGCCTATAGAAATATGTTGCAATTGCATTGATACTGTGAGGCATAGGATGCTTCCTTAAGTTGAAATTTTGGTGGGATGACCTTTTTGCTATACCTTCTTATCAAAAAAAAAAGTATATGATGCTTTCTTAATGCTTATAATCAATTGGGAGTCTCTTTTTTTGTCTCATTCTAGTGGCTGTGGAAGTCTTAGTGATGTTGCTATAGATAAGAACATTCTTACCAGTTGAGTTTTGCATTTAGAACGGGGTTGATGTTGGAATATTTATGATTGTTGTCAATTAGCTTTCTTGGCCATCGTTGTGCGTGTTTGCTTTTGCACATTTCTCTTGATGTTTAAGTATGCTGTGATATAAGATTTATGCTATTTCGCATGCTAAGTAATGGTCCTCTTTGCAGCAGGAGGGAAGGCCATGTGAGTTGTTTGAATTGGACGGGAGTTTGTGTGCTATTGATTTTCGATCAACTTACTAATTTGGGGTGGTTGCTGTGACATGGGTAAATGCAAGGGTTGTGGGAAATTGGGAAGAATGGCAAGGGACAGGACTGTGAGCTCTTACCAATTCTTTGTTCTTCAGTCTCCTGTTGTTTCGGTCTGGGATTGCATTGTGCGCAAGATGAGGTATTCGTATAGACCTGAGTGGGTGTAGATATACAGATCCGTGTATTGCTATTGTATTACTTAACAATTTTAAAATCACTTAGTTGTTTTTTTTCCATATGTATTGAATAACGGGTTATACAAGGAAAGGGGAATAGAGATTGATGTATACGTCTTAGTAAAGTTGCAGTAAGAGAGAGTTTATTGCACTTGGGAGTTATAGAATAATTGGTGGTCTACAAGATGGAAGGTGCTAAAGCACAATCTAGTGTTAGAAAGTTGAAGAAGAAGCAAGTAAAAGATGAGTTGGACCGCATGAAACAGGCTGAGAAGAAAAAGAGACGCTTGGAGAAGGCATTGGCTACGTCTGCAGCGATTCGTTCTGAACTAGAAAAGAAGAAAGAGAAGAAAAAGGAAGAACAGCAGAGGCTTGATGAAGAGGGTGCCGCTATTGCTGAAGCTGTGGCCTTGCACGTCCTACTTGGTGAAGATTCAGAAGATTCACACGATGTTATGCTAAAAAAGGACGAGGGGTCAGACCTGTGGGATCATGGCAGGAATTTAGACATATTTATGGGTGGTGGAAGAAGAGCAGTATTTCCCCAACAGAACCTCACAAAATATTCATTTGAAGGAACAGAGTGGGTCACTAGGAACCAGACATTTGGATGGAAAGAATTGGGAAACCAGGATTGGATGGCCTCGTATGAACCTCGGGGAAGAGATCTCTACCAGCAATACTATGATGGGGGAAAAAATTGGGATATCACGGGGATTTCCCCCCAGTTGATAGCAGAGCAAGCTTTTTCTTCACTTCAGATTGCCGAGGATGCACATGTGGGCACGTATATCTTTAATCAGGTATTAAGAGGATAAATGGTGGTACTAGTGTATCTTCTAGGCAGCTGGTTGCATTCCCAATTTGATGTTTTTGTGGTTTTGAATAATCATGTATATAAAACATCAAGCACACTATGTATCTTTTGTTCACCGGTTGTAATGCTGCTGCATGTATGCCCCCAAGGCCTCTCTTTACGCTGAAATGTTTGTGGTTTGCGTGAGATTGTTTTCATGTCTTCTAAACCTGTTTTCCAGATATTTTCATGACTTAGAGCTTTATTTTCAAGCTTCTATCTTCATGATCAGTTGAATTATACCTTTTCTGTTCTAACAAACTCTATGTTTTGGGTTCTTGGTTTTGCATGACATCAGTATTCTCCGCTAAACAATTCGTTCACTAAGTTCTCCAATCTTGTAAAGAAGCGTTTACTAATTGTCTGAAGTTCTCCAATCTGCTTAATTTCATTAGCAGTCTGCTTACTACTCAAGCTGGCTGCTAAACTAAGGGATAATCACCCTCCAAAGAACAAAGCTCTTACAAAAAGTAAGAAAGACAAATATTGTGAAAAAGATGTAACAGTTTGAAAGCCAACAAGCATCATTAGCTGATAATGATATGACCAAAAGAAAATATTCATCCCACGTCCTTTCTCCACCAAGATGTACAATAGAAAGGCCATTGTAAGACAAATTAAAGTGGCCTTCCCCCACCCCCTCCAAAAAAAAAAAAACAAGAGAAGAGAAAAAGATATCCTAAAGATATAAAACCAATTAATTGATCAGCAACAAAATTTATTTCATTTTTCCTATTCACTAAAGAAAAAGAGGGAAAGTTTGATGGACGGTAGAATGAGCTAGCTGCTATCTACTTCCTCCAGGCTCCAGCCAGCCAAGAGAAGAGAGGCACAACAAGGGCCATTGCTTATTGTCTTCATTCATGGTGAGGTTTCCTCAAGGCAAAATCTACCCAGCCAGCCACGAGGATAGGATAGTAGGAAAATGTAAACAAAGAAAGGAAAAGAAAAGCAAATACCTCCTCCCACTACTACTGTTGTTGTATAATAAAGGTTCTCTTATCCTCTCTACTACCAACACCCCCTTGTACATCACTACTTTGAATGTCTTCATTGTTCTGAGAGTTACCACCTGCTGCTGCCTCAAATTTATCATCTACATCATGCCCAATCCTCCTTCCGATGCTACCAGCATCGGAATGCCTCACTTGATGCAGCATCATCTCACCTCTGTCATCGGGTCTACTGTCATTATAATTGTTCTCAAACTTAGATACCCTCCCAGTATTGCCCATCATAGGGAATCTCCTGGTCCGTATCATTGGTCTAAAGTAATCATCGGACTTCAATCGATCAGATCCCATTCCATCAAATCTTTGGATGTCTTCATTGTTCTGAGAGTTGCCACCTGCTGCTGCTGCCTCAAATTTATCATCTACATCATGTCCAATCCTCCTTCCAATGCTGGTATTATCGGAATGCCTCACTTGATGCAACATCATCTCACCTCTGTCATCGTGTCTACTGTCATTATAATTGTTCTCAAACTTAGATACCCTTCCAGTGTTGCCCATCATAGGGAATCTCCTGGTCCGTATCATTGGTCTAAAGTAATCATCTGACTTCAATCGATCAGATCCCATTCCATCAAATCTTTGGTTCCTCCTGATCCCTCTCACAGGGGATCTGCCACGCCTCAACTGGGAACCAACCCCAAAATTTTGGTCTTCCATCCATCTAGATTTCCGGTCAGGGGAGAAGTGACGTCTGGTAGGGGACACAAACCCCTCTCCATATTCACCTACATAACTTGATTTCTTAAAAGGAACCCTCATTCTCTCCATTCTAGTCTCTGTCCTCAACTCAGGAGATCTGCCCTGCCGTCTCATGCTCATATTCCAATCCCTTTGTGAATGCCAAGCTCGGGGAGAAGAAGACCTGGAACGTGACCGAGATTTCCTTCGAGGCAAGGAAATGCGACCAGATTTGGCAGATGAAGGAGAAAAGCTCCTATCTCTCCTGGATAAATAATGCCGCATTCGAACAGATGGTGCGTCGTCATCAGGTAAATTCAAATTGCCTTCCTGCCTGAAGCCTCTAGTATTTTTTTGAGAATAACCTCCAGAACCGCCTCTGCTATTTCTATTAATGATTCCTCCCCACCGAGCTGGTAGCACTCTCCTAGGACCATCATAACAATCATCTCGGTCAACTGATAACCTCCGTCTAAACCCTGGGGGCCTCTGTACATCTTTTGAAGAATAATTTATTGATTGTCTCTGATCACGAGAATCCATTCCACCAAACTTGTCGGCCAAATCAGCAAAGCTTCTTCTACGGGGGTTCCCATGACCCTCGGGGCCATGATGAATAGAAGGATATCGACTTCTTGAATCCCAGCTGCCCCAGTGACCATCGCCTGCATTCCTGTCCCGCACATGAAATGCAGATCTATATCTGCCCACAAATTTCTCAGGGCTAAAATCTCTTTCAGGTCTAGTGTATGAGCAACCAAGACTAAGGGGCCTGAAAATAGAATCCAATATACATTTTGTGAATTCAACTGACGTAATCTTATCAAATAAAGAAAAAACAGAAAGCCAACCTATTTTAGGTAAGTTCAGAGAAAAGAAAATGGGAAAACGGATAGAGGAAAGAGATAATGAGGAAAGACAAGCTATATCTACCTGCGGTGCTGCAACAGTATACTGTCCTTCCTATCTGTTGCATCCAAATATAGTGGCCCTTCAATGCGTGACTGCAACTTACCTCTGTCTGTTCTCAAACCAAATTCCTCATTATATGACCATCTGAACCCAAATCCATGCCTTTTCTTCAGATCATCATTTCCTTCGACACTTGTATCAGCAGAGTGGTGTACCATGGTACCAAAACCTGCATCTGATCCCTTCTTTCCAGCAATGTCACTTTTATCTTCACACCTCCTGGACTGTACCCTCAGGTTCTTCAAAGACATACTACTCTTACTGAAATCTGCTTCTACACCTCCACTTGCTGAAGAAACTCTCTTCTCTGAACCTTGTGAACCCTCAGAACCAGGTTCAACAACTTCAGAGCCATGGTGATCAGCAGCATCTGAAAACACAACATTTCCATCTGAATCATAGTCAACACATTCAACCTCACCATCAGCCTCATTTTCCTCCCAGCTGCATAAAGCAGATCCTCTTAATTCCCCATCCTCAAATGGAGAGTCATAACCAGCCTGAAAACCATTCATATCCTCACAGACAATTGTGTGACCACGATCCTCATGTGAAATATCTGACCTGTGGCAGTCCTCGAGAAATGATCCAATCTTCATTGAATGACTAGCAAGATCATCACCCTGTGGCCCCTCCTTAAAGGTTTTGCTCGACCCTTGCAAAAAAGTAAGCTCCACTCCATTAGATCCACAGCCATCAGAACACCTTGAACTAAGCTCCTTGGGTTCAAACTGCACTTGAGAATCCACTCCGATTGCAATAGAAGCAGAGGCCATCTTCTCTTGCCACTTAACTTCACCTTCTATAGGCTGACCATCACCAACTGTGGCCTTTAAAACAGACAAATCTTCACACTTTGTTGAGGGATGACAGTTATCAGCTTCATCACAGGTACTATGAGAAGTTACTACATCCAGAACATTAGAGATAACTGTGTCAGTCACATTCCTCCCTAAAATCTTATCATCAGGTAGTTGACAAGTTCTAATATGATCTTCATTGTATCCACATTTGGAGCCAGTACCACAAGCAGGGTCATCCATTATAGACTCCTGAGTATATCCACTGTCCTGAATAGCAACAGCACCAACTGAGGCTACAGTTGATGCTCCCTCAGAAACTAAGGCTGTTGATGCATGAATTGATTTATTGGCATGATGATCACCAAGGGGCATATTCTTGTCATCAACATGAGCAGAAATTCTTTTGTCAACGGATGTGATTTCCAAGGATTCAATATCTTTTCTGAGGTTTAAATCATATATCTCCTCCTTAACAGAGGTTCTGTTGAGACAAGAGACTGCTCCTGACAGGTTTTCATCTGTTTTCAAAACTGAAGGTGAAATTTTTGTATCCTTCTCATCAACATGAACAGAAATTCCTTTGTCAATGGATTTGATTTCCAAGGATTCAAAATCTTTTCTGAGGTTCAAATCATATATCTCCTCCTTAACAGAGGTTCTGTTAAGACAAGAAACTGTTCCTGACATGTTTCCATCTGTTTTCAAAACTGAAGCTGAAATTTTTGTATCCTTTTCAGCTGAATGCATAAAATTCTCTGTATCATGCTGACAAACTTCAGGAACCATTTGTTCTTTACCAATGTCTATCTCACACTTTTCTTTTTTGCTACCATCACCATCATTCTGGGAATTTCCTGTGACTTGGTCATCACAAGGTTGCTCCCATGAATCCATTAAAGTGTTGAGGTCCCAATGCAGTCTGTCGACCTTTGGAGAAACAGATCTCTCATCTTCCCTGAGTTGCTCATCATCGACACCGTGAGGAATAACTGAAAGAGTTTCAAGAGAGTCCGGGCATCCACCTCTACTTTGAGGAGTCACATTGTCTTTTTCCACTTGGTCTCTACCTTCCTTCTCAGTACCAGAGTCGTCATCCATGCCATTACTGCATGCAGCTGCTGCAAGAAGTGCAATCCCTGAGAAGTCCTCTGAGTTGTAATAACAGTCCTTGAGATCCATAGTGTTATTCCTAATACCATTACAAAACTTTAGTGCTGCCAACTGACTGCTGGAATAAGAATCTGAACTCATGTGCCCTGATGAATGATTATGATCAGAAAGCAGCTCAAGCTCTTCAGATCGAGTAGGAGTAGCCAATGACTGAGGAGACAATGACTCTTCCTGCAGACCAAAAGGTACCTTGGATGGTGATTTAGACCGAAGTAAATGCCTCCTTTTCTTTATAGGAATGTGCTCCGCTTTGTCAGGAACCCGTTGCTCACTGGCAATCTCACAAAACTGCCAAATTAATAGTTAGATGCTGAATGAATAAGATTAAATAGCCTTTTATGATACAACATCCAGAGAGGCTGAGAAAAGTACCTTGTCAGAATCAAAACCTGAAAAATCTCCTACCCTCTTGGGACTCTGATTCTTCAGTTTTCCTCCCCAATTCAAGCTTCTACTAGTAGGTTTCCTTGAGCGCCTTCCTTTTGTGACTTTCTTCCAATTCAACTCAGGATTGATAGAATTAGATACTTCAAGACGGACTGTACTAAGCATATTTGCAGAAATAGTTCCTATCCCATGAACTAAGAATCTGCCACCACAAGTATTGCAGGATGATTCTGTTTGTTGGTTTCTTTTCTTATTCAACTCCACAGTAGCTTCAAAATTCCCAGGGCAAAGGCATACGCGAGTCTGCAAAGTGATTAAATGAAAAACAGTGAGACTGACAACTGAACAATCTACACTATAAAAAACATTCAAACACTAGAAACATAATCTGAAAGATTATCCCAACAAGGCAATAACAACAAGATTTCAAAAGAGCAATCAAGAAAGAAAGAAAAACAAACAATGTACAAGGAGAACTTGTCAATTATGCATCATCAAACAATTAATACAATATTCTGCAAGCCAGAACAATGCACATAACACCAGTTTTGCTCAGTAGTTATAGAAGTCTAAAAATATATATTGAAAACAAAGTCATAAAACAGTACTCATTTAGAACATTTTGGAAGTTCATTTCATGCTTAATTTACAACTTATGCCCCCAAAATTCCAATAAGATTGAACCCACAATCCATACTACTAGATGACAAGTATTCAAGAAACACTTTCGAACAAACATGTCATCAGAATAGAATGGGTTGAAGAGAACAAAGGATTAATAGGTGATATTTTAAAACTCACCATTTGTTCAAACCAAACATTAACACTGTCCAGATAGTAACCTTCCGTCTATACACGGTCCCAAAAAAAACTCTGTAAAATGACCAAAGCAATCAAAGGAAAACATTTAAGTTCATATTTTCCATCAAACTGAAACATCACACAAATACAACTGCCAGGACATGCCTTCATAGGCAATTACCTCAAGGCAGATGAGGTTATCAAGTATGAGGCCAAGCCAAAAACCATTAATTCACATTGTAGTTTGTGTAGCTGATTCCTAACATTTTGGATCAGGAATCTACTGCTACAGTTCCACCAAAAAATATTTTACAAAGTAAAAAATATCACATCATGGGGAAAAATCCAAAGGTATGGGATGAAAGTCTTTGTTATTAATTTAGATATGAATCCCAGTAGAAGTGAACACACAATACACTAATCAAATAAATCAGATTTTTTTTTTTTTTTGCAGGAAATAGTGTCCAGCAAAACATCCTAATCCTGTACAGAGCTCTCTCCTAACTCCCAAATAAAAGCAATCAAGCACCAACATCATTGCAATGCAACAAGTTCCCCTAAACATTCACAACCACCTTAATTCTAGTGGTATTAATGCTTCTTAAGATCAAATCTCCATTATAAAAAGCTTCAACAGATCTCCCATGTTTATTATCAGAGAGGAAAGAAGTAGCAGAAAGCCCATGAATAAGCAGCAGAATCGCCTTTGAGGCTGGCAAAGACTTGAATCTATATTATTTCCAGAGGTTACGGATCTATCAGCCTGTATCTACAACATATTCTGCAATACTATAAAACCTCTGGAATTGTTCACTGGCAATATTGGCCGCATCAAATCATCACATACACTGAGGAAAACCCTAGAAACTTTTCTATTTCAATTCAATGTTAATTAATATTATTACTCGGCATTCTGAAGGTGCGTCCAAGGAGGATAACTCTCTAAAACGCATCCACAAAGCCAATTTCCCATGTTAGGTTTAGTTCTGCCTAGATCAAGTAGATCCTGACAAATTTTACACCTCACTAGGTCGAGAACTCTTCAGTAACAGAAACAGAAGCACCAAGAAGCCAATAACCAAATCGTTGAAGATATAGCAATGCCAGCAAAATTCTAATGAAAAAATAGCTTCGCCAAGCACAGGAACATTCAAAACCGAAGAGTTCGGCTCCACATGTCTTGATCTTCAATCAAGGACCAAATAACATCCAGGTTGACCGAAAAAAGCCGTAGCTACGCCTTCAGAAATCATAGATCTGGCAGTTCCCCAAGTTCTATACGGAATAGAAAGTGTAGTCTTCGCAGTTGGAGGCTTGGAGAACAAAACGATTCTCTTCTCTGGCGACAAGAGAAAAAAGCAACCAAAGCGTACAAAATCAAAAACTAGGGTTTTCAATACCTGTTCTTCTGCGGAACACCAAAAACTCGCCGCCAATCTACAATTGGACGATTTATGGTTCTAAAGTCTTCGAAAGGAATATGAATCTCTTCGCCGTAACATACGCTCCGACACAATGAACAGACAGAAAAAACATACACCGGACCACCGAGTCTTCAACTCGGTCGATGAAAGACGACCGTCGGATCTTCGCCGATGACGATGATGATCGAAAATCCACGGTTAGCCTCCGGGATTTCGCTTCTGTGTATCCTAATCTCTTTCAGGACCGTGAAAATAAGAGTACACGCAAACGAGTGAATCACCACTTATTTATCATTGCACGTTTGACGATATTGCCCTCGTGAATCTCCCGAATTTCACCACAATGCCATTGGATGCCCTAGGATAATTCACAAACGACTTTCCTTTCCTCATGTTGTATTGTATGTATATCTGTGTCTAAGTCCCGCCCTGATTAGCGGCGCTGTTTTACATTTTACTTTTTCCCTCATACCCTTTCATTTTTATTCTATTTACTTTTTGCCCCATTATTTTTGTGCAAGGCTCCTTTTTTTTTTTTTTTTCCTAGAAAAACTCACAATATTGAACTAGTGACATTATAGTAAGAATGTAAGATAATCATGTTCTATTCATTCAACATTCTTATTAAAATTGTTAGACATTATATGGTAGGAGTATATTTAGCATGATATTAGATATTACTGTGTATATTATTAGGGATTTAATTCCGATCTTTACCTTAGTTAGCATGTATATTCTTATATAAATAAGTGTATTATTGTGAATGAAATATATGAAAAAAATAGGGAGTTTTCCATTTGACATGGTATCAAGAGCTCCATTGAAGAAAACAAATCAGCTTGTTTTCTTTCTTTTTCTTCTTTTGAACTTATGGCATAAGTTTGAGTCGAGGGTTTTCAGTAGCCGTTTGTTGTTACCGCTAGTATCAGTGAAATTGCAAATTGGTCAGATTGTCAAGCTTGAAGAGATTCTATTCGGAACGTGTCCCTCACGCGCCCGGCATTATACTTGTCGACATTTCACGTGCCGACGCATAAGCACTTCTTCGTCATGAGAATAGACGATGTATCTATATATGTTCAGATTATTGTTTTGTGTTCATTATGTTTTATTGGATCAACTTAGTCCAATACCTTAGTACATTCGATGCATCCATGGTAATAATAAATAAATAAAATAATAGAATAGCTATATTATGACGATGACCATTTGCCTTGGTATCTTCTGCATGCATTTTCATGATCCATTGATGCATCGAATGCATCAATTGATATTTCTCAAATAGTTCAGTGACTTAACCGGAGCATGCATTTCGAGTTCATGGTATTTCCATGATTCATGTTACCAATCTTTTGTGGATTGGTCTAGCATGTTTATGTTCAATCGTTATGCTGTGGAACTGTGCCCACCTTGTTCCAAACGACGCCATTTTCATGTGGTTGAATTGAGTAACGGTGTTGTTAGTGAAACTGTTATCCTTCATAATTTCTATACTGTAGATTCATAATTTCTATACTGTAGATTCATAATTTAAATACAATATATTCATAATTTATATAAAGTAAAATCATAATTCCTATACTGTAGATTCATAATATCTGTACTGTAGATTCATAATTTCTAAACTGTATAGTTATCAAATTATGAACATATAGTTCAGTGATTTGTGAATACAGAGTTCAACAATTGAAAATATGAACATATAGCTCTATAATTATGAACATATATTTATAAAATTATGAACATATAACTTTATCACATGTTCACAAATCTAATACTTGTAGATTCATATTTTCTATATTGTAGATTCATAATTTCTAAACTGTGCGATTGCGAACAGAGAAATGCCGTTAACCGCAAGTCAAAAACAATTTTTAAAAAAATTAGAACGGCGTCGTTTTTCCGTTGTGAAACTGTGCCCACCTTGCATAGCATAATTTGCCGTTTATGTTACAACCTACTCCAAAAACTCAATAAAGATGGTATACTTTTTAAAAACTTAAAAAAAATAAAAAATTATTTCAGTAATTTGTATACACAATCAAACTACCAATAACACAAAGTACATACAAACTAAGCGAGAATTTGAAAATCAAAAGTGTTATTATGGAATATATTTAATATTTAATATTTTTTATGGAATTTTGTTAAAATAACTTTTACCTGGCATGCATCTTTTTGGAAAAAAAAAAAAAAAAAAAAAAAAAAGGAAAGTGGACCTATTTTTATCCTTTTTTTTTTTATTTACTTACATGCATCATATTATTGATTTATCTTTTTTTATGTTTACTCACAAAGAAATCACACCATTACTCCTCAGCATATATGGCTTCACTGACCAAAAGTGCATAACATACCATCTTGCTTCATTGATCAAAAGTGCATAACGTGCCATCATTATACCGTGGATCATAGTCCATATTTGTAAGATAGACTATAGACCACTTATATACAAATACATTTTCAATGTACTATAGATTCATTTTTAATATACTACCTAAAAATGGACATATATTACACTAAAAATAAACATTCGATATATTAAAAAGAACATTTTATTAGTGATCCTCGGTATAATTTGCCCATAACATGTGCATAACATGCAATCATTACACTGTGGATCATGATGCACATTGTAAGGTGGACCACTGACATACATCTATATTTGTAATGTACTAAAAGTTCATTTATAGCTTGTTTGGTTCACTGGAAAATATTTGAAAGGAAATGGAATTGAAATTCCATGGAAAATAAATTCTAAGAAAATAAATTCCATTGTTTGGTTGGTGGAAAAGAAATTACTGAATATGAGTTCCATTGTTTGGTTGAGTTTGAAATGGTAAAGAATAATGATTACAATGACAAATATAACCCTACACAACAATAATAATAATATAATAATAATGAGAGTAATTAATACAGAATGATGAGGGTAAAATTGTCATATTAGTTTTCCATGGAAAACAAAATACCTAGTATGAGCTAGGAATTTGTTTTCCTCATTCTCAAGGAAAACATTTTCCAATCATCCAACCAAACAACATAAAACATCATTTTCCTTCACCTTTAGGAAAACATTTTCCATGAAAAATGTTTTCCATCCAACCAAACAACATAAAACATCATTTTCCTTCACCTTTAGGAAAACATTTTCCATGGAAAATGTTTTCCATCCAACCAAACACCCCCTTAGTGTATTGCAAATATATTTTTAGTATAAGACCTAAAAATAATCATATATTACATTAAAAATGAACATTTAGTATGGTAAAATGGAAATTTATCAATGGTCCACGGTATAATTTGCCTGTAACATGAGGGTCATAATGTGCATTCAGTCAAAACAGACTTGCCAGATAAGCTGTTGACTTGTTAAGATCAACAATACACTCCAAAAATAAAATTTAAAAAAAATGATAATAAACAAATGGGTATTGGTTGCTTAATGTGTGCTGAAAAAATGAGAGCATTTACAGAATGCTAAGCATCTATTGCACGTTCCAAGAGACTAAAAGGAAATTGGGGGGAAAGATAAGCCAGAAGGTGATGTCAAGAAAGTAAGATTGGGTATGTGTGGCTGTGAGTGGATGATCCCTACATTCCCAGAAACTTCAAATCTTGTTCTTTCCTTATCGCAACCGCATATATACACAGAGAAGAATAAATTTGAAAAATTTTGCATCACAAACAAATAATCCCACTGTTGTCAAATGGACAGATTGGATAAAGTGTGAATGAACAACTGTGGGTTTAAAAAAGTGGGCAACACATATCTGGAAACGACTTTTTTGTAGTCTAGTGATCGATATCTTAAGTTGGAGGTCACAGATTCAATCTCCGTTCTATCTTAAATGCACCAAACAACAAATAGATGGCAGCTAGGCAGCAGGCAATACCAAATGGAGCAGAGCATTCAACATAAATTATATGATTCATTACTGCACTAGCAAATATGAACTCAAACTCGGTTCACTGCCTGTACTGAACCTCACCTTTACTAAGAACTGCAGCCTTGACCTGTAAGAAAAATGAAACCAATCAAACCACAGTAGTCAGCATGTGCCCCACAGGATGTGTATAGAAATTCCAAACGTCTCATGTCCCGAGGCATGAGAATGCAGCTACCTTCATGTCCCGAGGCATGGGAATGCAGCTACCTTCATGTCCCGAGGCATGGGAATGCAGCTACCTTCATGTCCGAGGCATGTGCCCCTTAAAATTCTACTTGACACAATCAATATTAGTCTCAGACCATAAAAAATACACAGGTATACGTAACAGAATAGAACAAACCAGTTAATCTAATTGGCAAGGCAACAAAGTTCAGTAGCAAGCTCCTGAATATCTGTAGCAATTGCTTGATCATCATCAGAATCTTCACAAGCTTCAGAGTTTAAGAAGGCCATATATATATATATATATACACAAGATATACCCAAATGAGGAATTTGCTTTCAATCAACTCCGGGTTCTTCCAAATATACATCTAATTGTGATCTAATGATAGCAGACACAATCTTAATCTGAAATACATCAAAACTCTTTCAAATCATCCTCCATTCCACTATCAGCTTCACTTTTGACAACTGTTTCCATTTAAGAGTATTAATTGTTGATGCAACACCAGAATATTCAACAATTTCCTGTTATATGTTCTAGCTTTTTGTAAAGCAAAATCTGACAAAGACAATTTTGTGTTTAGGGTCAATTGCCAGCACCGTTCTGCAATCTTCCCAATCCTGATCAAATTTTAGGCTCATTGCATCTGCCATTTCGCTATTATGAGAGTAAGAAGCTTCATCTCTTCTTGAATTTTCAATTTTATCTTCCATGGATCTGAAAACTATGGATCCGCAGCGGGATAACCACGGAGAACATACTAAATCGATTACAATATACTTTGAAGAACACTGCGCCAATCCACTCAAATTGTTTGAACCTTTAACTCCTCAAGTTTGATCATTCTTTCATCGTGATATGAAATAATTACTTTGAGAAAACCTAGCTTCATCATGAGAACAAAAAAATGTCACGGTAGATTGAAGCTTATACTGAACTTGAATAGAAAAGAACAGACAAGTAGATACCAGAAGTTTCGTAGGATTGGGTTTAGGGTTCTTCCGCAATTGAAGCTTTTACGGATCGGTTTTCATGTGTTGCATTTCCACAATTCAAAGGATGCTTCTGCGCAACGGGGGAGACAAAGATGGCGTAAGCAAAATATCGGAACTACATCGTTTTATTGAAATATAATTCGTCAAAATTCCACCAAATAAAATAATGTCAAAATTATCTCAGTTCTACCTAGCCTTTTTTTTTTTGTTTTGTTTTTTGGTTGGAAGCATAGAGAAAACTATCATTCTTTCATCATATCCAACCGCAAAACAGCAAGGATAAGCGAAGAAAAAAAAAAAGAATGAAGAACCGTTCTATATAATTTATTGAGTTAATTTTATTTTTATTCTAAATTTATAGGTGTGAATCCATTTTTAATCTATTTTATCATAATATCCACATTTGGTCATTGTAATATTGTGACATGATATTTTTTGTTCTTTATTAACAAAACAATTTTAATGCGATTAAATACAAAAGCATGTCAGTCTTCAATTACGATTTTTTTTAAATAAACATACAAATATAGCAAGGTCAACTCACTGTGTATAAAAATGATCGAAATATATTTGTATTTAACGATATTTCAACGATTTTGTTGACCACAAAAAAAAAAAAAAAAAAAAAAAAAAAAATTGTCATCGCACAATAATACGATGACCAAATGTGAATGTTATGATAAAAATGGATTAAAAGTAAATTGCGACTTATAAATATAGGAACAAAAATGGATTTAACTCTAATTTATTATAGAAGCGATTTGCCTAGCTAACACATAAGACACTTGATGATCATTTAACCAAAAAAAAAAAATTAAACGATGAAAATTATTCATCATTTCTTTAATATCATTAAGAAGCAAGACAACAGTATATGAGACTATAGCCAACTACATTTTTTTTGGGATCAGTGGGATGGAAATCCTCAATATGACCTACTGTCTTATCACATTGGCATATCGTTATCTAATGATATCCATAGAATCACTGATATAGATGAGGATACGATATATCTGAATGAATAATAATGAGTCTGTACAGGAGTATATATAGTAGTGAATAGTAAACCTATTACAAGACGAATACTAATAATAATAGGTAACGAACACTAATTACTAATAATAATAGGTAACGAACACTAATGATGATAGAGTCCTAATACTCCCCCTCAAGCACAAGGTGGACTAGCAACAACATTGAGCTTGCCACATAGAGTAGAGAAACGCGGACCAGGGAGAGCTTTAGTAAACACATCAGCGAGCTGATCCTTTGTGGAAATGAAGCTAACCTGCAACTCATTCTTCGCCACTTTGTCACGAACAAAGTGGTAATCAATTTCCACATGCTTCGTACGAGCATGGAACACCGGGTTGGAACAGAGATAAGTCGCACCCAAATTATCACACCAGAGAGTGGGAGGAGCAGCCAATGACACTCCAAGCTCGTGCAACAGAGAAACCAACCAGGTGACCTCCGCAGACACATCAGCCAGAGCCTTGTATTCAGCCTCTGTAGACGAACGAGCAACCGTGCGTTGCTTCCGACAAGACCAGGAAATCAGATTGCCACCAAGAAAAACCGCAAAACCACTAGTAGACTTCCTGTCAGCTGGATCACCAGCCCAGTCCGAATCCGAAAAGGCATGAACCGCAACAGAGGAGGAAGGACGAATAAAAAGACTAAAGTGCAGAGTTCCTTTTACATACCGCAAAACACGCATGAGCATAGCCCAATGCTCAGTGGTTGGAGAGTGCATATGCTGACAGACCCGATTCACGGCAAAAGAGAGATCCGGACGAGTAACAGTAAGATACTGTAGAGCCCCAGCAAGACTGCGATACTGCGTGGGATCCGCATAGGGAACCACAGAATCAGAAGAAGGTCGGGACACAAGAACCGGAGTAGCCAACGGTTTACAGTCCACCATACCTGCACGGCTCAAAATATCTCGCATGTATCGCTGCTGAGAAAGAAACAAACCACCATCCTTGGAGACCGTCTCAATGCCAAGAAAAAAAGACGGAGCACCCATGTCACGAATCTTAAACTCCGAGGCTAAGTCAGTAAGAAGCCGAGTAACACACGAAGCATCAGACCCCATAACAAGGATATCATCAACATAGACAAGCAAATATAAACAAATAGAGGCACGCGTATAGATGAATAAAGAAACATCAATCTTGGAGGGTGAAAAACCAACCGACACCAAGAAAGCATGCAACCTATTGAACCACGCTCGAGGAGCCTGCTTAAGACCATAGAGTGACCTCTGTAACAAACACACATCATCCGGCCGTGACTGGTCTTCATAACCGGGCGGCTGTCTCATGTAAACTGTCTCTGCAAGATTACCATTGAGGATGGCGTTGTGAACATCCAACTGCCGAATGACCCAACCGTGAGAAACGGCTAAAGAGAGAAGAAGCAGTACGGTGGTGGGTTTGACAACAGGACTGAAAGTCTCAAAAAAATCTTGCCCAGCGACTTGATTGAAACCCTTTGCGACCAATCGAGCCTTGTGCCGCTCAATCGTGCCATCGGCCTTGCGCTTCGTTCTGAACACCCATTTGCACCCCACAACGTTCATGCCAGGTGTACGACTAACCAGACGCCAAGTGTGATTCTGGAGCAAGGCATTAAACTCAAGATCCATGGCCTCACGCCACTCCGGATACCGAACTGCCTGAGAATAACAAGTCGGTTCAGGAACAGTCATAAGAGCCACATGCTGCGTCGGTCCTTGAGAACGGGTTGCCATGACATGAGACCGAGGCTGAATAGGCTTCGCCGTACGGCGGCCTCGCTTGGGCGCAGTAGGAGCACCCGAGACCGCCCCTTCCGGAGCCGTAGCAGTCACGGTGCGAGAATCTGAACCAGCTGCGGCAGCCCCCGAATCCGCGTCCAACTCTGGATGAGGATCAGGTCCAGTGGGACAAACATCGGAGCCAACACCAACCCGAACGGCACCAACACCCCACGGCTCAACCGGGCGAGAGCTAGAGACCTGAGAAGGCATAGAAGAAGCAAACGGATATACGGTCTCATCAAACCGTACATGACGACAAATGAATACCTTGTTAGTAGCAGGATCTAAACAACGATAGCCACGAAACGAAGACGGATAACCAAGAAACACACACGGGGATGACCGATACTGCAACTTGTTACGATTGTACGGGCGCAACAGAGGATAACAGAGACAGCCAAACACACGTAAGAAGGAATAAGAAGGATTAGAATGATGCAAACGATAATGAGGACTGACATTGTCTAGAACTCGAGTAGGCATTTTATTGATGAGATAGACCGCAGTCTCAAAGGCATAATCCCAATATCGCTGTGGAACCGAAGCCTGAGCCAAGAGAGCCAGACCCGTTTCCACAACGTGACGATGCCGACGCTCAACTCTACCATTCTGCTCATGGGTATAGGCACAAGATTGCCTATGATTGATACCCAAAGAGACAAAAGTACGGTGCAACCGTTTATACTCTCCCCCTAAATCAGATTGTATAGAGACAATCTTACGACCATATGAACGCTCAACTAGTGACCGAAACTGCTCGAAGATAGCATACACATCAGTTTTTAATCGCATAGGATAAAACCATACATAGCGTGTGTAGTCATCAACAAACAAAACAAAATAACGAAAACCACTGACAGAAAGAAAAGGCGATGGGCCCCAAATATCAGTATAAATAAGCTCTAAAACATGCGACGTAGTAGTATTGACACGAGGCAAGGGAAACCGAGATGATTTCCCAAGCATACAAGCACGACATGACACCGAACTATTACTAAAACTAGAATCAATGGAACACGAATTCAAAATCTGTCGCAAGACACGAGGATGAGGGTGACCCAACCGACCATGCCAAACGTCAGAGGAGACACGCGAAGCCACTAACGCAGCGGGACTCGAACGAGAAACAGGCCAAGAATAGAGACCCCTCGAAGCCTGCCCTCTATACAGAACTTCCCTGGTTGAACGATCTTTCACAAAGAAACAATCAGGGTGAAATTCAAAGAATACATTATTATCACGGGCAAACCGTTGCATGGATAATAAAGACGCAGAAAGCCCAGGAACAAAAAGAACATCAGACAACCGAAACAGTGTTTTAGAAGAGGCTACCGAAGACGAACCAGTACCAACAATAGGTAAACACTTACCGTCACCAACACGAAGATGATCCGGACCGTTATAAGAGACCGTCGAGGACATCAAAGACGGATCTGGGGTGGCATGGTTCGACGCACCAGTGTCAGGAAACCATTGCTGAGTGCTAACCGAAGCCGCATCATCCACAGGATACGCAACATGCGCTCTCGGCCCCGGAGCTCCATCGTACCGGCGAAAGCACGAAGCGGCCGAATGGCCCTCGCCGGAGCAGATCTGACACTGGACAGCCCCGGCACCGCCACGACCACGGCCACGCCCTTTGCCGCGACCACGGCCGCGGTTGCCGCCTCCACGTTGCTGCCCGCCCGAACGGCCTCCACCTCGCTGAGCCGCCATGGCGACCGGAGCAGCAGCAACATCACCAGCTTCATCGGCACATATAAAAGCCTGCGAAACAAGAAAATCGGATAGCTCGGGCAGAGACACCGGAGCACCCCTTGTGAGCGACGCCACCAAAGGACGATATTCAGACCGCAAGCCTCGGAATATATACATATTCTGATCCTCTAGCGTCACCGGACGGCCGGCAAGCGCTAAATCCTCGATAAGCACCTACGCACGGCCAAGATAGTCCGGGATCGAAGCATCCCCCTGCCGTAATCCTTGCAACTCACCCACCAACCGGAGGGCATGAGCCCGTGTAGTCGAACCAAGAACCTGTTCGATTGCCAACCACAAATGCCGAGAAGTGGACTTACCGATTGCGAGGTGCATCATCTCGTCGGACAAGGATGAGATTAATAAGGAGAGCACGGCCTTATCTTGACGGAGCCATGCACTCCGAGTAGCGGAAGACAAAGCCGACGAAGGCACGGCAGGAACAGCTCCCTCGGCAGGCGGCACGGCAAGCGCGGTGATCGGCGGACATACCGAAGTACCATCGACAAAACCCAACAACCCTTGGCCATCCAAGAACAGAAGAAGCTGAGTACGCCAAAACAAAAAATTGCGGGATGTCAACTTGATGGA